ACACACGAATTATCCCCAAAAGTGCATTTTAGTACAAAAGCAAATAAACTTAATGTCAAATTTTTTCATTATCAAACATTTTAATAATTAATGAAATATTCACAAAACAAAAGCTTAGTTCGAAGATTAGTATGCTTAGTAGTGTTGTCACAAAAACAATAAAAATAACAAAATGATTTGATAACTTATCTTTGTTGGGTTTTATAAAGTCGACATTCTTTTTGAGCATTTCAGTGAGAACATCTTTTTTAAAATATCCAATAACAAAACAATATTGTTATTTTGTATTATTTTTCTAGTGTTGCCCTTTGACAATTTTGACTTATGCCTGTCAAAATTATCAAACATTTGCTGTAATTTTTGGTGTTTTTGGAACTCTTTATTTCATTATTTTTTATTCAGAGAAGATAACCACATGTTTGTTTTTAATTGAAAATATTTTTTTAACGAGAGTAATATTCAGTTAAAACTCGACACGAACAACACCATCCAAATTCACTTAAACGTTCATTGTTGTGCTTTTATGCCAACAATGATGTGTATATGTCGTGAAGTATTGAGTTATGGTCAAATCAAATAACGGGATCGGGTTTTTTGGAAAAAGATGGCTAATATTCCGATATTTTCCCGAATTTGTACGAAAATAATTGAACGGTATTGGTATTTTTTTCAAAATAAAGTCGGTACTTTCGATTTTTTGTTTTTTGTTTTTTTAGGAAAAAACAAAAATAAAAAACGGGACTTTAGGAAGTTCTAAAAATATGACAGTACCGACTTTTGAAAAACAGTTTACAAAGTGACTATGAAAAATTCATTGTTTACACTTTTGAATAATAAAATTAATTAAAATTGGTTTGAACATAGTCAAAAGCAGTATTATATTTTTTTTTATCTTTTTTTGGATTGCTTTTGTTTGAAAATATTTTGTTTATTACCAAGTCTTTCTTTTTTGGCAATTTGAAAAATGCAATTAATTATATTATTGCGAGTTTAGTACCAAATTTGTAAAAAATTATTATTTTTTTTTATTTGTCAAAATTATACAAAAATAGAATTATCATTGAAATCATAGTCCGGCAAATAGAATTTCATTTTATTTTTTACATAGAAAGTCCATAACTTGCGGCAAATTAAGCGAAAAAAATACCAATTTTTTGTTTTTTGTTTTGTTAGTTACTCAAAATGTAATTCAGAAAAATCTTTAAAACCTATTTTGGGTTTTTATTAAAACATTTGTGTTATTTTTAACATTATTTAAAAAAACCAATATTTTATTATAAATTTACAATTAAAAATTACTATAAATTAACATGAAAAAACAAAACTCATATGAGATTATAAACGTCCGTTATAAACAAAATGAATTTTATTATCTGTTAAAATTTATAGTAAATTTTAAAATAATACTTTTATATAATATCATAGTTATTGAAAATGTATAAATATAATAATAATAATAATAAATAATATTGATTTATATCAAAATAGATATAAACGTCCGTTATAAACATAATAAATTTTGTTTGTTTGTTTAATTTAAATATTATTATAAATACTAATATATATATATATATATATATATATATATATATATATATATATATATATATATATATATATATATACTAATAATAAAATAATAAAATAATAAAATAATAAAATAATAAAATAATAACAATAATATTATTGTTTTATTGTTATTATTTTAATAATAACAATAAAAATAACAAACATAAAATAATAACAATAATAACAATAATAACAATAAAAAATAAAAAATAAATAATAAATAATAAATAATAAATAAATACAATAATAACAATAAAAATAACAACAATAACAACAATAACAACAATAAAAATTGAAAATAAATTAAAAAAATAAGAACAATAAAACAAAAAAGATGAATGTACGTTTTAGTAATAACAAATGGTTTTGGAACAACATGGACATGGGATTTATTAAAGCAGAAAGGGGAGACGATAATTATTATTATTGTGTTATTTGCGAAAAGTGGCTAACGCGTGGAGTAAAAAACAATCACAAATGCCACAACTCTACTGTCTTTGTGTACAATAAAGAAGAGGCTTTAGAATTTATAAACCCCTCTAATAAACATCCAACACTTACAATCAACAACAAAATTATCAAACGAGACGATATATCACAAGAACTGCTTCAGAAAAGCGATCCAATTCACAGAGATCGAGTCAATCTTTCAAATTTGCCAACGAACAATTATCTGGTGAACACCGATTGTTTGACCAATTTAAACACGTCATCACATATCGAAAATATTCCAATGTTACAAATTACAAACACAACATTGCGTCCACTCACTTTTCCACACACAGAAACTTTACTGTCAGACAATCCAACAGTTTCATCATTCGGAATTACAACTTCAGTAAGTGATATTGTACCAATTAATTTGAATTACACGACTTCTGCGTTCAAATATAGTTCTTCTATGTTTTCAATTATTCCATCGGCAATTGGTCTGCCTCAAAATACACATAAAAATATGAATGACACAATACAAAGAAACACACAACATGAAGAAATTTGTCATCAGATTACATCAACAAGAGAAATTCATCTCCAAAATCAAGAACATTTCTCAAATGCAATTTCTTCACAAACACAAAATTTATTAAATGATTCCTCAACAGTTGAACACCAAAATGAAATGGAGCCTGAAGATTTAACATGTGAAGTGTCAGAACTTGAAAACTTTGTTGAGGAACTGTTCAATTTCAACGACGGTGTTTTTGCGTTATACACTGTAACTCCATTTAGTGATTACGATGACGAGGAAATTTCGAGACAGTTAATTCATTTTTGTAAAGCTCCAATTGGAATCGATTTAATTAAATTTAAAGGAGCTTGTGACATACTGTTTTCAGATTCATCAAAGGACGAAAAAGTTACAACACAACAACAACGAAAAAAAGTTTTGACTCATAAACGTAAAGTTGTTCAAAACATCATAAATCATTTGACAACCAAATACAAATTTTCTGATACGTGTTGTTCAATTTTGAAACAATCGTTAGTGATTTCTTCATCTCAATTGACTCCAGAAGCAGTTGATATATATAAAAAACTCGCAGTTAGTTTTAGAAGTGCGCGTCGTCGACTGAAGAGTGAAAACAGTATCACATCGACACAACTTATTAACGATGTTAGAAATTGTGTATGTTTTGCCATAGCAACTGATACGTATAAAAAGGATGGTATAACATTTGTCGCAATTTTTATTCGTGTGTGCATGAAATTTGATTTTTATGAGTGTCCCCTTTTGTTGTCAGAGTATTACGGAGAAAGTGATGGTGAATCAATGTGTGAATGGATATTCAATGCACTTGCTTTCGATATCAATAAAGAAGTGTTATTCCCCATTGCGCAAATTTATGGGCAGCACACAAGATGGTGCATCGGCAAATATGGGTGTGATAACGGCATGATTAAACATATGCAAATGAAACTAGTTCCTATAAAAAATCCAGAAGGTAATATAATCGAAAGAAAGTTTTATGGAGTACACTGCCCCGCTCATAGATGCAACTTGTTTGCACAAGATGTAGGAATGGAAGCACCATTTGATATAGTGACAACATTTATTAAATGGTTGTGTAATTCAACGAAGCTAAAAGAATACTACACTTTTGCAATTCCAACAACATAAAGAAATGTAAATTGTCCACTTACTCTGCAACAAGGTGGAATTATATGGCAAATTCTTCGTCTGCAATTTTGAAAAGCGAATCTTTAATTGAGCAATTTGTCCAAGACGAAGAACAACAGGCAGATGTATTTGGTGAAATGGTCGAAAAACAAATTAAAGAATTTGACGTTGAAATGCAAGATTATATCGAAATATTTTCTTTGAACAACTCCTATATACATTTTAGTGTGTGTTTGTTCAATGATATTTACACACTTGTAAACGAGTTGTGCATTGAATCACAAACACGGCTTTGTATACTTCCAGACCTTATAGAAACAACAAAATGTTTTGGAGTTTACATTGATGTTATAATCAAATCAGTCAAAGAATCAATTGAAAATAAAACAGAACTTGACGAGTGTTATTTCCCTAAAACTTCAAAGTGTATAAATAATCCGTCAGTTGTACTTCAAGTTCTGATGAAGCTAAGATTTCAATTCGAATTGCGTTATTTTAATTGTGATCAAACGATTAATGTTAACACAAAAACACAAATTGATTGTGAACATTTTATAATAAGCGAAGCACTTGAAAAAGAAATGATAGAAAAACGAGATTTGGATTATTTATTTGATATTTTCTATTGTCCAGAAACTATCATTAAGGAAGGTAAATTCACAGCTGGTCCAGGTTATGAAGATATTCAAAGAGAAATAGATTTATTTGGCGTTGAAATTGAACGAATCCGTGTCCAACAAGGGTTGTCAATCGAGAAATTTTGCTGTGATTTCAGATCAAAACATCATCAGAGTGTATTTGAACAAAAAATAAGAGAAAGAACTGGAATCAAAAGAAGAATCAGTTTACGCGACTTTTTTCCTTTTAAGCGGGAAGAATTCCCAAAGTTGTACGAAGTTGTGTGTTGCTGTATTGCAATAATACCAAGTTCTGCGTGTATTGAAAGGTACTTTTCAAATGTCAAATTTGCCCTAAGAGCCAATTTAAAAATTGAAACACTTTTTGCAATGCTTCAGGAAGCACTTGGCAGTTATCGAGAGAAGACTTCAATTTCTTTAAATTGATTTTGATATGTTTTAATATTAAATAATGTTAATATTATTATATTATTATATTATTTTTATTATTACATTGTTAATTATTAAATTATTAAATTATTAAATTATTAAATTATTAAATTATTAATTAATTATTATTTATTATCTAATATTTATTATTTATTATTTATTAATTATTATTTATTATTAAATTTTTTTATTATTTATTTATTATTAATTATTAATTATTAATTATTAATTATTAATTATTAATTATTAATTATTAATTATTAATTATTAATTATTAATTATTAATTATTAATTATTAATTATTAATTATTAATTATTAATTATTAATTATTAATTATTAATTATTAATTATTAATTATTAATTATTAATTATTAATTATTAATTATTAATTATTAATTATTAATTATTAATTATTAATTATTAATTATTAATTATTAATTATTAATTATTAATTATTAATTATTAATTATTAATTATTAATTATTAATTATTAATTATTAATTATTAATTATTAATTATTAATTATTAATTATTAATTATTAATTATTAATTATTAATTATTAATTATTAATTATTAATTATTAATTATTAATTTATTAATTTATTAATTTATTAATTTATTAATTTATTAATTTATTAAACTATTTTATTATTTTATTATAAATTATAATTTATTAATTTATTTATTTGTTAATTTATATTATTATTATAAACTATTATAAACTAACATTATATCGTTATAATAAATATTAATATATTATTAATTTAATTGAATATAACCCCATAATTTTGCATTTTGATAGAGACGTTATTCAAAAGATAAAAAAAAGTTTAATGTAATTGATTGTTCTTAAGGTGGGTTTGGTTTGGCACTTTTGTGTAGTATAATTGATAAATATATTATAATTTGTAAATTAAAATAAAATATATAATTTAATTGTTAATATCCCAATCAAATTAAACTAATAAAAAATATTAAAATGTTAATAAATCAATACACAAAATGAGTGTTAATATAAATGTGATAAAAATATTAAAGTAATAAATAAAATCAATAACATACAAATATTAAATTATAAAATTTGATTAGAAAATTATTATTATTATTCAAACTATAATCAATGAATTTTTAATAGTTAACATTTATTTATAATTCTATAAATACAAATTTGTGTTTTATTCTACTATTATTCAATAGTTGTTATTGGTTTTACTAATAGTTTTTGAAAATTGATATTTATTTTTTGTAATTATTGTATCATTATTTGTTATAAATATTATGATTAATTTTAATACACTTTTTTAATGGGAGTTAAATTATTAATAATTATATTATATTTATATTATAAACATTTGTTTTTAAATTATAATAGGTTATACTATATTATTTATTATTTTTTAATTTAAGTTTCAAAAATAATTTAGTATATTTATAATATATTTATAATATATGAATTTCAATATGTTAGGTTTAATTATTTTTGAATGGTCATTATTGAAAACTGTTGTTATATTTAACGATTGTAATATAGTTTAAATATTCATGTTTTAAATTAGGTTAGATTTATTGTTTTGTTATAGAAATTGTGATGTATACTTCATGTTGTTATTCAAATGGATTTTGAAAAAAATATTTTAATAAAGTCAATTATATGAGTTTTACTTTAAATTGTTATTTGAAAATGTGATCCTTATGCAAAATTTTTGGAAAGTTCAAAATTTGAGAAATTTCCTAAAAAACACAATGCCGAATTTATAACGGACGTTTTTTGATTCTGTTTGCCGGACTATGCTGAAATACATTCATATTAATCTTCAACAATGAGTCATTCTCGGTCAATGTTGTCAATTTAATACAAAAAGTGACGATTGAAAGCTCAAAAAATCTAATAATGGATTTAATTTGTTTTTTATTTTAAGTTGATAATTATATTATGCAATTATAATAAATGTACTATAATATATTAAAATAAGAATATAAATTTTTTATTTTAAAAATAATTTTGGTTAGAGCATTTTTAAAATGTATAAAAAAACTTCTATTTTATTAGACTTTTGATGTCTAAATTATTTTACATAGACATTTTGCCGAATAGAAAAGATATAAATAGGTCATTGAAATATTAAAATCCAAATACTACATGACTCGTATTGATACATTCCATGGAATGGTTGTTTCAAAATACTTTTCCTCAATGATCGACTTTATCAATTTCACTCTTGTGAACACAAAATTTAAAGACAATATGGATATGTTCCATGCAAATCCAATACCTCTCACTCTCAAGACTTTTAAATTCTTTTCAAAGATAGAAACACTCAATTTATGGTCTGAAGAAGACGAATCTTTTGGAAACACAATCCTCATCGCTTATAAGCCAAAAGTAGTTTATGATGAATACAATGACGAAGACGAAGTAAACGATGACAATGAAGAACCAAACTGTGGAACTGACGATTGTGGTGATGATCACGTCGAGCTTCCACAGCAAAATAATGAAGAAGTTGTTGAAAACGAAACAGAGAAAACAAACGAAGAGAATGACCAACCGAATGATCAAAACGAAGAGAACAATTGGAATGACCAAGATGAAGAAATCGTACAACAAAATATCGAAACAACCAATTGTTGTGATGTTCAGCCAAACTTCTCATCACAAGAAAATGGAGAGATTGTTGATAATCAAGAAGAAAGAACAAATGACGAGAGTAATGAAGATGTCATTGAACAAACAACAAATCAAAATGAAGAAGAAAACGTTGAAGTTGATGTTGAAGAAGAAATTGATGAAATCGAAGAAATCAAAATAGAGTACAGACAGACAACTTCTCAAATAACAGATGCAACTCAAAAAGTCAAGTTCTTTAATATAAACGTTTGGTTCAATGTCAATTACCACACTACACAGAAAGAAGAGAACAAAATGTTCACATTTAAAAATGTCACATATGAAAGCTACGACCGTAAGATTTTTGGTATAGCAATTCCTGAATGTGTCAATTCTCTTGGTGAATCTTGTTATACTAATACAAAGAAGATGACTACTTTTGTTGTTCCACAAAACATTTTGGCTATTAAATACTTCTGTTTTAATCGTTGTGGTAATTTGACATCATTTGAATTTCCAAAGTTTGTCAACCACATTGGTAGAAGTTGCTTTGAAGGGTGTAGTTCACTTGTAACTGTTAAACTTCCACAAAACATTGAAGTTCTTCCAGATAATATGTTCAATGGATGTGAAAAACTTTCAGCGATAGAAATACCAGAAAGTGTGACCAAAATCGAGTCGACCTGTTTTATGAATTGTCGTGCACTTTCTGCTATCAAATTACCTTCAAATTTGGTTGAATTAGAAAGTTTTTCATTCCAATTTTGTGATTCGATAACTTCAATTCAATTCACAGGGAAAATGAAGAAAATTGGACAAAATGCGTTTTATGGGTGTTATGATTTGATTGAAATGACTATTCCAGAAGGTATCGAGTGCTTGGGAAATTGCTGCTTTTGTGAGTGTAGAAATTTGAGTAAAGTTGCGATACCGGAAACGGTGACCAAAATAGAAGATGCATGTTTTTCAGAGTGTTATGCGTTGGAACAAATCAATATACCCAAAAATGTGAAGGAAATTGGAACTGATGCTTTTCAGTTGTGCAACAGTTTGGAAAATATAGACATTCCTGAAGGAGCAACTTTAATTGGAGAAAGAGCCTTTCCAAATACAGTAAAGATCAACAGATATTAACATTTTAATATCAGGTGAAAATGATAATTCATCATTATTTTAAGTTTTGTTTATGGGTTAATAGGAGGTCTATATACTGTTTAATCATTAACTAGTAAAAATATTTATTGGAAATTTTCAAAGGAAAAAAACAAAACTTAAAGAGTGGGGAAAAAGCTACACCATAATTCTTTTCGATTCTTTTTACTCAAAAGAACTTTCTTTTTTATTGATAAAATAGATTCGATAAAAACGGTGTTTTTGTTTGATTTTGGAAACAGTTTTGATTCAAGTTTTTCTATTTTTCTTTATGTTGATTGTAATTATTTATTTTTTAAAAAAATTGAAAAACTATAGTCATGGTAAAAATGTTGTTGATTGAATAAAGGTTCGGTTTATTTTTATATTTCAATGATAGTTAAAACGAGGATAAAACTTCTCTGTTTTTTTTTACATCTATAACCATTCAAAAACAGATTTTATTAAAACTTAATGTACGTTTATTTCATTTGTGATGACATGGCAAATCACAAATGGCACTTTGCCGCCAACATGTTGCAATAATTTGAAAATGTAAATAAAAACAAAACAAAAAAGTCAATTGAGTTGGAAAACAACTACACTTTTTGGTGTGAAATATTTGTCACTCAACTCGTTCAGTTTGGAGGTGTAAGTTTGTGGGTTGCAATAACTACCATTTTGACCTTTCTTGAACACAGCTATATCATGACCGTCACCAAATTTGAAGAGATGTGGTTCGTCTTGAAGATATAGATGTAATCCATTAGAAAAAGAATCTCTATTTTTAAACTTTCTTGGATTCAAAGTGCCATTTCTCACAAGTGAAAATACGTAAGAATTGTCGAAAAATTCTCCAAAATCATCGTCAACATCATCAACATCTCCAGTGTACACACCACCAAACTTGTTGTGATTTGTGTCTTCTACCAAAAAGCACAAGTTACTTTTGTTCTCGACTTTTTCATAAAACACTAATGTACCTTGTGACCAATCGTCATTGTTAGAATCAAACACAACATCCACGATTTTCATTCCCGTCAATTTTTCTAGACCGACTTCTTCTTCAAGTGTGATGTGTTCACGCTTCTTTTTCTCTGTTTCTTCATCATGTTGTCTTTTCGCAGTAATGAAATTATCCGATTTTGTTATTTGATCGACTGCTGTGTTCTTAATTTGTGCAATTCTGTAAATTTCATCTTCATGTGGTTTTGTGTCCATTTTAACTTCTCTTCATAAAGTGCAATTTTGACGTTGTAAATCTCATACAACTTCTCATTGTCGCTTTTTGTTGAATATAGAGTTATCTCGCTTTTGATTTTGTTTGATGGGTTAATTAATTCAGTGACATTGCGTTGAGCGATGTTGTGATGTTCTTCTTTCTGTCAAATATTTCATCAAGTCTGTCGAAGTGTCCCTCTGCATTCTGAATGCGTTGTGTGATGTCAAGTGACTTATCGTCAACAAAGTTGTTTTCCTTAATATTTTTGTGGAGGTCTGAAACCGCTTTTGCTGCGTTAGTGCAGAGTGTTGAGAGTGCTGTCAACTCGTTTTCCATTGTGTGTTAATACAGTTTATTTGTTTTTTTATTTCATTTTAAATAAATCTCAATTAAAATGATTTTTATTTCTAATCAAAAATAATTTTATTTCAACCTTTATATTTTATAATTATAAATTAAGCTATCATCCCCAAATCAAATAAAAAGGTAGATTGTTTTGTTAATAAACTCTGTGGTGATTTTGGTTTGATTTTTCAAACTGAGTAACAATAGATATTTTTGAAAAAAATAGTTATTCATAATTTTAATTAAAACCAATCTAATTAAATTTTTGTTATTCTGTTTTATTTTCCAAAAACATTAAACAGATTTGGAGTGTGAACCGATTATTTCATAATGTTCGACCAAAATCAAAATATCAACAATGCGGTTTGTACTAATATCATTCATTGGAAAAAACATCAAATATACACTTATATATGGATAGGATGTAATAATGTTGTTGAGTCTTTATAACTTTAACACTCACATTGTCAAAGTAATTCATTTGTTAAATAATTGAAATAATATTTATTCATTTTTAAATATTATTTCAATCAAACTTATATAAAGAAACTGATTAAAAAATAAAAAATATTATTTTTTTAATTGTCAATGGTAAAAAGCGTTATTGCTTTGTTCGGAAGTGTTTTTGCCTTTGGTGGACTCGCAAAACGATGATGTAAAAAACACCGTGTTGTGATGTATTTATAAGGTTAGTGTGAAAATGGACGACACAATCATCACATAATTAACACAAAAGTTATTTTTTTCCCGCCAGCCAAAATTCTTACTCAAAAGTGTATTTCATAAATTGTTGAAATACAAGGAGACATGACTGTATCAGCCCATTTGTATAAGATGAT